TTATTGGTGGCCTATGTTCCGAGAGGAGTAAAGGGCCAAAGTAAGTAAGTACAGGTACAATGAATGAGATTAATTGCAATTTGTTGAAAATAGGATTTATCGGATATCAGTGAAAAGAATCGTTTTGAGAAGAATTTCTCAGAGTTTTGTATGTCAGAATTCAATTAGGATATGCAGATCACTTCTCACTCATTAGCCATGTTCTAAAAGAGCAAAACACTGGAAACAATATTTAAAATCGATTAATCTGGAAAACTGAGCATGGTACCTAAGAGAGCATCTGAAAGCTAGTAAGTCTACCAAATGTCAGTGTTTTTTGTTGGAAAACAAAGATGTAATACACTTTTAAAAAGGTGCGATTTAAGAAAGCTTTTCATGCTTTGGAGGGACTGTCCCTATGTTTAAAAATAAATAACAAGAAAACGTGAAACACGAAAGTTTTATCTCCAATGGACGAAAATTTATTTGTTATTCCGAAAGAAACAAATCTCAGGCCACCAAAGACTTCTGTCTTGATATCAAATGGGATCAGGTTAAGCTTAGTTCGACTTAAAAGAAAGACCTTTCAAGCTGATAGAACAAAACCAAGGTGGAATTTCGAAGGAACTTTTGATAACATTTATTTTCTATGAGTTTTTGTTTTAAACATTGGTCTTGTATATTCGCAGGTTCGGTAAAGGAAAATGCGATTCAGTTTGAGAATTTAACCCTTATAAAACCGCTATCGTTGTGACCGAAGAATTTGTTCTTTTGACATACCAAGTGCTAGGAGGCAGAGTTTTGGTAGGATGTAAAGCAAGCAGGTCATAGAGACTAATAAAATCCTCATTTCTGTCTAGATGAACAACTTCATCCACTCGCACAAGCTAATTAAGCTGTAAACTGCCATTATCAATTTATCTGACCCACTTCAATTGAACATGTTTTGCTAATTTGACCTCCTTGGGTTGTCAGTTTTAAAATGTCACAGATTTCTGCGCTCGTAATGTTGAGTAGTTAACAGAGACTTATTCTACCACTTGCAGACTTCACCTCGCGAACATAATTGCAACTACATCACTTTCTCCGAGAAGCCACTTCAATTGCACATGTTTTGTTAAAATAGCCTGCTTGGGTTGTCAGTTTCAAAACGTCATAAATATCTACACTCTTCCGTGTGTAGTAGTTAATAAAGACTTCTTATACCATTTATAAACTTCATCTCTTGGACACAATTGCTATTATAACTTTCCCCGATCGAAAAGGTACTTCAATTGCACGTGTCTTGTTAAAATAGCTTGATTTGAAAGCCCAATACATCTTTTCACTCTCCCCATGCGCGCATGACTTGTAACGGGCCTTCCTTCTCTTTTGATGGCATTTGTTCAACTAAACCTCAAAATGTCATATTCCCGAAGGATTGCCTAGGCTATTGCTCAGGGAGGCGTTGAAGTTTCGAATTGAATGCACATAACAGTAAGAAACTTAGTACAACGAACGACGTCTTACCGATATGAAGTTTATTTTTGTTAACTTGCTTAATCGTTTACAAGCATTAATTTCTTCTGGATCATTATTGCATATATATTTCTTAGTCAAGTCCACGGTATGACAATTCTTTACTGCTTCCAGGTTTATCCACTTCCTGAGGGTCTTCTGGAGCTTGAGGGTCTCGAGCTTGGGTATTTTGAGCTTGAGGTATGTGTTGGGCTCGAAGGTCTTTTGCTCGAGTGTTTCGATTTCGATTTCGAGCCCGAGCTGGAGTGTTTCGAGCCGGAGTGTTTCGAGCTGGAGTGTTTCGAGCTGGAGTGTTTCGAGCTGGAGTGTTTTGAGCTCTGGTGCTTTGAGCTCGAGTGTTTATGGCTGGAGCTTGGGGGTTTAGGAGGCTTTTTGTGTCCACCTCTAGGGGGATACTCGTCACGAGGAAGTCTAATATTTGAGCATCTTCTAACTCCTGGAAACAGCTTGACCCTTCGACTCGATCTGTCCCGTTTGAGGCCATTAGTTGCTATGTCGAACTGAAGAATAGCGTCCAGATTTGCTTGGGTAATTGCCTGTGTAAGCATTCCAGGAGGATTTGGGACGTTGTTTCCAATCACTGCAAAGGTGTCGCACTGGCCATTTGGGTATAGACACGTGCCCGCAGTCCACATTGAATTAGGTTTATATATGCCTGGAGCGAATAAGACAATCGGAACTGCAATTGGCTGTGGAGGTTGAGTGTTTTGAATAGCAACGAATGAAATTCCAGTTAATAGAAACAACACACCCCCTGCCGGTATGCATGTCTGCACTGCAAACGCTCGAATATTGCCTTCCCAAACTCTCCACTGTCCGGTGTTAAAAGATCCACACTGGGGCACGGCATTTGTGTATTGATACGTGGAAGCAGCGCTGTTCGCGGCATTTGCTGGGTTACCCGAGGCAGTCATAGCTGGGAAGAGGTGACCTTTGTGGCATCCCAACGGGTTATTTAGGTATATTGCATTGCTTGCTTGGTTCTGGATGCCTTGTAAGAAAGTAAAGTTAATTACTTCTAACGATATCAACAAAAAAAAAGGATTGAGAATTTGAGAAGTTTGAAGTGACAGGGGTGAGATAGGCAATTGTCATTCCCTGAATGTTTTACTTTTGAAGGACTTGGAAAGCTTAGCCTTATAATTTTTCAAGATCGTCGTTCTTAATCCGTGTTAATCCTCTCCATTTTTAACCATGCTTGTACCTATCTGTTTCTTTTTTTTCCTATTATAATCTCTTTGGTGTTTTTCAGTCTTGTACATTACTATTTTTATTCTTCTTGTATCCGGCTCAAATAAATCATAATGCCATTCGACTGAGCTCCTTTAAGGGCATCAGAAGATTGGCAAGGAATAATTCTGAAAGCGTATGGAGGTAAGATAATCAACTAACAGGCCTTGTACCTGGTTATAGAAATGCCCTCGACATTTTCCAATTTACAGTATTACTGCAAGATCGTTGTAAGGTACTTCCGGTACTCTTCTCCCCCTCATCCCCGTTTGCTTACCGAATAGAGAGGCCTATACCCAAGCGTATCGAAATCAGTAACCGATCCTCTGCGCCGAAGTTTAGTCAGGTGGGCAGCCCAAACGCCTCTACGCCCATTTTCATTCTTCGCCTATGACGCTTCTGGGCAACTTATGTAGCAATATATAACACGGCAGGGCTACTACGTCAAATATAATTTAGAAGTCATTACTTTCCGAAGAAGGTCTATATGGGTAATAACCCACTCACTCCTCATCCTCTCTTGGTTTTTTGTACATGTTAATACATTACCGGGAGTTTGGATCCATCCTGCTGCTGCTTGTGCTTGAAAATTAACGTTTCCCGCATACAAAACGTACGCTGAATACACTGGAATTCCTCGACCTTCATCGTGCATCGACGCGTAGTAGTAGACTCCCGGCGGCTGTCTCTCTTGACAGATGTATCTCATGTTCTGTAAATTAGCAGTACGTAACCCAAGTGGTGGCTGTCCGTTTAAAAAGAACTGTGTGAAGCATTGCTGGTTAGGATTAAGAAAAATGTTGTTTGGAGGCTGAGCCGCTCGTCGGATTCCTGCAACAACTTGATTGTAGTCTTCTTCAGTGCTGTTCTTGGTGTCGCGTATACGAGTGTTGTTATCTAGTTCACAAATAAAAAAAATATAAGCATTCTTAGTTGAATTGTTCTTAAATGAATCACGGGCCTGATTTTGTTTTTATTTGTTTTATTTGTTAACATTATTATTATTATTATTATTATTATTACTATTATTATTTATAATTTGACTCTAGACGTAACTGACCAAAAATGCGATTTTCATTTCAACATCGCTATAAACTGATAATTGGAATCTCTGCGAATTCTTTACGGCATCTGGGATATTTTTTCCACTTTACAAAAGCTGCTCCCCTGTTTTTTGTACCTGCCACGGTATCTAGTACTCTTACTTATATCTGCTTCTCGCAGATTAAAAATCTTCTTGCCCATATAAGATACTCGGGGTTTAAAAGCTATCAAAACGAAATCACATTTAAGTATGGCTGCTAGCTGAAAACAAGTAAAAGCTCGAACAAAATGAGTTGAAGAACACCTATCAAAAACTACAGAGGATTTATGAATTGGGAAGATAATTTCTCGATTGTTAATTTTTGTTTTGCCTAATGTCGATTTTTTAGCGGGTTGGCCCTAGATTTCAGTAGCTTTAGATGTTTCTTCTGACGTGAAATTCATTAGAAACATGTTGGAAACGTGGTGTGTCCTTAAAGTCCCTTAGGATTTAAAAAAACTAAAATTTATGTATATCCACTTTTAATTTCACCATCTTAGCGAGAAGCAAGAAAACTACTTTTACTCACCTGTCTTGTTTACCACTGCCAGTTTTCCAGAGAAGACACTGGGCATCATCAGCATAGAAATAAAGAGACAGGGCAAGATTTTAACAACGAGCCCTTCCATCTCCATCGTGAGCGAGAATAAAAATTGCGCCGATACTGAATTGACTGAGAAGAGAGAGGTTTGTATCCTCCTGAGAGAATGATACAAGTTTACCGCTTTGAAAATGAACTTATAGCAAAAAACTGCTTGTTAGGAATTTCGCTATTGCATTGACTGTCCAATTACCTGATAGGACAATATGTACTTCTAAATTTTTCATCTTATTACTTAATTCCGCGAAAACTAAAATAGATTTCAAAAGTGGAGTTCACTAGAGCGAAAAATATTGTTTGAGAGGTCCTTTAAAACTCAAGAATTAGAACAGCCTTTTTAGAATTTTTCAGTTTTACAGAACAGTTTTACAGATTTGAGAATTTCGCTTTATTGCTGGAATTGCTTCTCAACATGAAATGGCTTTTAGACATGCAGGTTGAGCTTGTTTATTTTATTTAATTTGCCAGGATTACCTTTTGTGCTTTTTTTTTGTTTTTTTGTTTTTTGTTTTTTTTTGAAGCTATTGCACTTTTAGGGAAAGTGGAATTTTAAGAGTGTTTGTCATGAAAGCTTTTAGCTTGGTATAATTAATGGCAATTTTTGAGTCTATATCCCACTGTCAACACAGTAAAAGACAAATTTTCGTTACACAATTGAACAGATTCTCCCATAACATGTTGTGGTGATATTAACTGAAATATTTCAATCCCAAAAGGTGGTAGAGGGATGGGGGACGTTGGATTTCAATTTTGGAATCATTTTTTTCCTTCAGAATTTGCAATTATATTGATTCTGTAATCGTCAGGTATGGTAATATATGCTCATAAATTTATCTTAAAACGTAAAATGGTTTTCTAAAGTGTAATTCAATACGGCGAAAATATTGCCTGCATGGTTCTTAAAAATTCAAGATGAAGAACACGTTTTCAAATTTTTTTAGTTTTACCAGTTTAGAATCTTCATCTGAATGTCAAATGAAAGGAAACAGGAGGTTAAACTTGGTTTATTCCACTTACTGAACGACGAAAACAAAGTTTGAGCTAACGGTGTTACCTTTCGGTGGAAATTGGGATTTTTGAGACCTTGCTGAATAAATTAGCTCGATGTTCGGAAATAGCAAATATTTGTCTAAATGAATCTGCAATGTCGTTTATTGTTAATCAGGAGTTCACTTGTATATATGAACACTTTTCAAATTCTTTCAGACAATAATTAGGAGAGCGCCTTTAACGACGAATATAATTTTTTTTTTTAATGTTTTGTTTTAATTGAGCTAAAAATGGATCAAGAATGTTTTGGAACTTGTTTACATGTGTCCGGTAACTGCGAGAGTTGCAACTGGCTTTTGCCATAAAAACTAACGATAAAAAGTCACGACGTTTCGACCTCTCCGAGGTCATTTTCAAGTGGGAGTAAAAATTCTTTCTTGAGGAATGTGGACGCCTGAAGAGACCCTTGCCCGACTGTGCTACCTTGAAGATCTTGTGCAGTCTACCATCCGCCAATTCATTGATTCGAAAGTGTGTGAAGATTCACGGACCCAAGTATCTGAGAAGACAGAAGCTCCAAATGGAGTCGTGCTGCCTTTTTAAGACCAGAAATCTGCAAACGCAGTACACAGACAGCTTGTCGACCTCAGTCGAAAATCAACGCAGCTATTAGCCCGGTTTACATAAGTTGAAAGATCACGGACAAGGTGAGAGAAATCAAACCGCTTCTAGTAAATCAGCAATGCGTGGTGTATTGTTTTACGTGTAACGTGTTCGATGCAGGTTATGTCAGCTATACCTGTCGACACCTACACCACCAAATTAAAGAACACAAAGGATCGGCAGTTGGACACCACCCTCAGGGAGCAATGGGATAAGTAGCCGGTTGACATTAAAAAAAATTTAAAAATTTTAAGGAAGTGTCAGAGCAAATTCGACTGTGTTATCTTCGAAACGTTTTTTTTTTTTTTTTGTCCTTTTTTTTTTTAATCAAAGAACTAAAACCAACACTGAACAAACAGTGCGATTACTTGTTTAGATGAGTTTTTTAAGCTTACTAGTATCGTTTTATTGTTTCATTGTCGTAGGTCCTCTTCTTAACGTCGAAAATATTTTATCACATATCTTACATATTTTATTGCACTCTACCCATGGTGAAAATTTGTAAATATATCTTTTAATGTTAGAAACATATTTATGCTAATCTTTTATATTTTTTTTTTACTCGCACTTGAAAATGACCTCGGAAAGGTCGAAACGTCGTGATTTTCTATAGTTAGTTTTCATTACAAAATCGATCTCAAAGAAATTACTCAATTGCTGTTGGATGGTAAAAAAGCGAGTATAACACATTCCCAATAAGAAATTTGTCAGGATTGTTAACATTTATGGAACAATGGGATCACAAACTTTAATTGAAAATAAAATTATTAAGGGACAAAGCCTTTTAAGTAAGAGAGATTTTAAGGTAAAGTGGAATGAATTGCCATTGAGAAAGTCTATTTTCTGTTAGTCTTCGCGATCGATTCGTAACTTTAAATTTGCTTGCAAAGGATTCGCATTTGTGTCCTAAATCACATTACAAAACTCTAATGAATGTCGTGTACTGAATGTTCCAATAACTTCTAATTCTGCTTTCTGCACAGCTATAATGACACATGTAATTGCAAAATTGTTTAACTGATAAGATGTTGTCTGATACCAAAAAACTGTAATTTGCCGAAATAAGCATGTTTTAGATTTCGGTTATATCGAGACAGCCATTGTTGCATTTACAATTTTGGTCTTTGATCGGTTCCGAATTCAACATTGTGGCTGTTTACTAGTTATAAGTTTACCCAACCAAACCATACTCTCGAGTTGAATTCATTAGATCGATCGGTAGCGATAGATGTTTCAAGGTTAACATAGAGCTTTAAATAAAGTCAAAAAGGAGCCAAGAAAATTAAAAGTCTAGAAAAGTAAAACGAATTGATATTTCTTATCTTTTTAATGTTAAGAAAAAAATATAGAGCGTATCTCAAACACATCGTAACGTCAAATGGAAACAGGTTAGCTTGAGACTGACGTAATAACAGTCGGAAAAAAAATGGTAAAGATATTCTAAGAAAGCAAATGAAGAAAAAAGTTTATGTGGTCTTTTTTCGGTTAAGCTATTTTACTTTACAAACGAATAAAAAATACATGCTGACGGACAAAAGTTAAAGTTAGCAGAGCTGATTGGACATTTCTTTTGATCTAAAATTAAGATAATATATTTCTGATTCTCACCTATCTAACATAGATTACCTTGTTCTATTAAGCTGATGGATTTCAAGCCAGGACGGAATTCCAAGAAACTTTTGATAAGACTTATTCTCTTTTAATATTCGCCTTTCAATAACATTGATCTTCCATTTGCTTAAGGAAAATACTTTCAGATCAGGGATCCATCCCTTGTTGAGATATCATGGTGATCGAGCAATTCAGTCCTTTGACATACCAATTGCTAAACGATAGAGCTTTTCGTCGAATTAAGCGTACGTAGTTTAGAGACTGAGAAAATCGTCATGTGTACCCAAATGAGCAACTTCATCTACGCAAATTAGGCCTACCAGGTAGCAACCAAGCACGTGCTGTGACATTACCTTATGATAAAGGCATCTCTTTACCACTTGTAAACTTCACATCTCCAGCTCAATTACCACATTATCAGTTTCTTCGAGGAGCCACTTCAACTGCACATGTTTCTTTTAAGTGACCTGCTTTGGACTGTCACTTTTGAAAGGTCATAAATTCTACACTCTTAAACCAAACGTACAGCCTTCAACAGCAAGGATAATTGTCCTGGAAACCTCACCTCACCTCTTCAGTCACGACCGCTTGTCCTTTGTCGCCAACTCGTAAGTCTGGAAATTTGTATTCAGTGGCTGAATGAAAACTTCTCTCCTCAAATACCTGATAAAAGCTAATCGCGGACGACTGCAAAATCATCAAGTCTGAGATCCTACTTATTATATTATTGCGAAATAAACCTTGTAGAAAAGAGCAACGTGTGGACATTCGCATTAAGATGCCGGGATAGCCAATCAGGAAATTGCCTGCGATTTCCAAATAAAAACAAACCAACCCTAAAGCTAAATGATTGATTTATAAAGTTAATAGGTGATATTCGTGTTTCACGGCCGTATTGGACTGGAACTAGCTTGCAAATGAGGCTAATGCGGGGAGTCTTTTCAAATGCAAATGACATTAATCTCTTTTAATGATATTCCCCCGCATTAGCGTCCATTA